GGGATTGAACTCATGTCCTTGCACTTGCCAGCCAAGCGCTTATTCTACTGAGCCATCTCCCCGCCCTAAAATTACATCTTAAATTTCACTGATTGACATGGGTTTACTTAGGATTTTTATATTGACTTGATTCAGCTTTGGTAATTAATTTATATTTATGAGTCTGTCCACTTCTGCATCTTCCATCTTATTAGAATACAAGTTTTTGAAGTGAGTATAGATGATCTCCTGGATTTCTGTAGGGTCTATTGTGACTTCACCCTTTTCATTCCTAATTGCATGGATTTGGGTCTTTTCTTCCCTTTTTTGATAAGATAGGATAAGAGTTTGTTGATTTTGTGTAATCTTTCAAAGAACCAACTCTTTGATTAACTGATTCTTTTATTATTTTATTAGTCTCCAATACATTAATTTCCACTCTGATCTTTACAATTTCTTTCCTTGTATGAGCCTTTGGCTTAGCCTGCTCTTCTTTTTCTAAAAGTTTGAGGTTCATCATTGTAGGAGACACTTCCAGGTCTTCATCTTGATCCAAGAAGCCAATATTTATAATCCCAGTTATGTTATTGGAATCCCATCAAGTTGATTCCAATCTACCACTTACAATACAACCAACGGTGAAAATAAAGACACTAAGTTATATTTTCAATCATTGGAGTCAAGGGGCTCTAAGTCCAGCCATGAAGATAGCTTTCCGGAACCCAGAGAGCAACCCAGGGCCTCTCCCGGTTTTATTTAATGGAGGAGTGGCTTGAGGAGGATTGACTGAGAATTGTGGGAAGGAGACTACTATGAGCTGAGCTAGGTGGGTGGCCTAAACTTACCTCTGCCATATGCAGAGAGTATATGCAGAGAGAGTAATCTGCATTGTATAGTATCTAATGTTTTGGTAAGTCTGGTGCTTCAGCTTTGATGTAGTCTTTCAAGCCCCAGGAAGTCACGGCCTCTATCTCAAGGCTGGATCCCAGCTGGCAGGGCGGAGCATTAGCTCTACCATCCTGTCTTGACCAGACTCACATTAAAGAGCAGCAGGTATAGGTTACCAGGGAAACATGCATGCCACCTTCAAAGACTATCACCAGCACCTCAGCTAGACCAATACACATTGCTTAAGGCCAATTGAAGGATAAACAGAAGTCCTAGCCAGCTCTACGTAACAATAGGAGGAAACAGGGTCAGGCTCAATCAAAATAGAGATAGTCTCTCTTCTTTCAAGGAGAGTTGCTCAGGTGGTCCTCCACACACCACTAAGTTATTTATTTGCATTTGCTCTGTTTTCCTGATATGGGTATTCACTACTATAGATTCCCCCCTTAAGACTGCTTTCATTGTGTCCCATCAGTTCTGGTATATGTTACTGTCATTATCACTTAATTGTAGAAACTGTCTAATTTCTTGTTTAATTTCACCTGTGACCCAATGGTTATTCAGGAGGGTGCTATTTAATTTACATGTGTTTATGAAGTACGTGTGGTTTCTTTTGCCATTGATTTACGATTTCTTTACATAATGGTCTAGAAATATGCATGGAATAATTTCAATTTGTTTGCATTTACTTAAGCATGTTCTAGAGCTAGTATATGGTGTATTTTGGAGAACATCCCAGTGCAGCTGAGCAGCAGGTGTATTCTGATGTTGTGAGGTGCAATACTCTGTAGACATCTACTTAGTTTATTTGTTTGAAAGTTTTATTCACTTTTAATATTTCATTGTTGATATTTTGTCCGGTTGATCTTTTTGTGAGAGTAGGATATTGAGATCCCCCAGTATAATTGCATTGTTGCTTAATTGATTTTTAATGCCTGTTAATATTTGTTTTACACAGTTGGGAGCACTTGTATTTATTGCATATGCATTTATATTTGTTATCTCTTCCTCTTGGATTGTTCCCTTTATGAGGATGTAGTCACCTTCTTTATCTCTCTTAATCAGTCTTGGCTTGAAATTCACTTTATCTGCAGATAGAATAGCTACCTTTGCTTTTTCCTGGATTCCTGTCACATGGGGTATTGTGATCCAGGAAGCAATGCTCAAAGCAAGGACCAGAACTCCCCCGATGGCTGGGGAGATGACTCAGTAGAATAAGCACTTCCCTGGCAAGCACAAGGGCCTGAGTTCAATCCCCAGTTCTAAAAAAAAAAAAAAAAAAAAAAGTTCTTTAGGGGCTGGGGAGAGAGCTCAGTGGAGTAAGCACTTCCCTGGCAAGCTCAAGGGCCTGAGTTCAATCCCCGGTTCTGCCAAAAAAAAAAAAAGAACTCCCCTGAAATGAACTATTCCTAGTGATTCCAAGGTCCCATGCTCCGGTGACAATGAGAACAGCTGAGTTGATCAGGGAAACCAGCCGGGAAGATAGCTCAGTAGAATAAGTGCTTGTCTGGCAAACAAGGTTCTGAGTTCAATCCCCGGTACTGAAAAAAAGAAAATTCAGGGAAACCAGCATGACAAGGTCCTCCAAGAGAATCAACAGCAGCCACAGGGGGAAAAAAAATAATTCCTTATAGTTTCCAATAGCATCTAAACTTCTTCCTCTCCAGTTCCGCCTCTTATGCTTCTTCCATCTTTTGACTTTCAGTCCATTAATTTATTTTTGAATTACATGTGTTTCTTTATTTCTTTGTCTTTTTTGAGACAGAGTCTTGCTATGAAGTTTGAGCTGTACTTGAGTGCACTTTGTAGCCCAGGCTGGTATCTTTCAGCTGTAGTTGGTGTGGTGGATTGACGACTGTAAACTTGTAAGACCCAGCTGAATAAACCAGCATGGTGCTGAGTGTGAGAGGCTCACCTGAGGACTGTTGCTAGCAGCATAAGAGGCTGAACTGAAGAGGAAGAAATTTAGATGCTGTTGAAAGTTGTAGGAAGCTATTTTTTCCCCCTGGACTGCTATTGGTTCTCATGGAGGACTCTATCATGCTGGTTTTACTGATGAACTCAGATGTTGTCATTGTCACAGATGCATGGGACCTTGAAGTCACTAGGAATGGATACAGTTCATTTCAGGGGAGCTCTGGTCCTTGTTTTGAGCATTGCTTCCTGGCTCTGAAAGGGAAGACGGTGCACTGCTCAGTCTCCTGTAGAAACTTGTTGCTCTGGCTTTCCTGGTAGGATCTTGGCTGTTCTCATCATCAGCGGAGCTTGGGACCTTGCTGTTGCTAAGGATGGCTGTGGTACCTTCTGGAGGAGCACTGGTTCTTACTTTGAGTGTTGCTTCTTGGCTCCAGTGCAGATCCCTCAGCCTGCTAACACAGATCCTTCTTGCTGGCACAGACTCTCTAGGTTCCACCACTGACCTTTGGGCCTTCCTAGCACAGATCAGTGAAACAGGCCTGCATGAAGCATTGTTGTGGGCCCTTTGCCTCCAGTTGGACTCGGAGAATGTTGTTGTGGGCTCCAACTCTTCAGCTGGACTCATGCAGGACATCACTGTGGGATGCAGGCCCTCTGCTGGGTTCTTTGATCTTTAGTGTGTGGACAGATTTCCTATGCTCTTTTTGTATATTGCTCTTTGGATGACTATTATAAAATAAGCTGATAAGTGTCTTGTATTGTATTTGTTCTCCTTGCAAAATGTCAAACTACAACAGCGTGTGTTTGGGTTTTGAATCGGTTGCAAAATCCTACTCCTTCAATTTTTGGGGGATGAGAAGTTGCTGCCTGGATCTTAGACACTATTACACAGTATTTTCTGTGACCCTTAGTCAATTTCAGTCTTATGGGGCCAGGGAGATGGCTCAGTAGAATAAGTGCTTGCCTGGCAAGTGCAAGGGCCTGAGTTCAATCCCCGGTTCTGAAAAAAAAAAAAAAAATTAAGTCTTATAAGGAAAAACAGCTGTTTCGAACCATTGTGTCACTTTTGGCTGTAGTGGCACCATCATGAATAACAGCATCAAGCACAGCCTAGAAAATGACTAACTGACAGAATCATTAATTTTCTACCTTTAACCATATGAACTATATTTGTAGCTATATAGAAAAATCTAAAACAAACCAGGGGAGCTGGGAGATGGCTCAATAGGATAAGCGCTTGACTGGCAAACAGAAGGATTTGAGTTCAATCCCTGGTTCTGCCAATAAAATAAAATAAAATAAAATAAAATAAAAAATAAAACAAACCAGGAACTTTTATGCAGTGTAGAAGTCCTTAATATGGCAATTTTGCCTTCAAGAGTTA